AGTCATAGAGTTTGCTTGGAGTGGTAGCCTTTCCAAGAATTGCGTGTGATTCTCTGGGCTACTCCATTTCTGTCCACAAATATCTCTCTCTCTCTCTCTCTCTCTCTCTCTCTCTCTCTCTCTCTCTCTCTCTCTCCCATTGGTTAACTAGAATCCATTTCTGTTGCTCCAGATCAAAGAACTTGATGCTTTCCTTCTCCAACTCTGGTTCAAATCATGTACAAAAAGCAGTAAACAATGTAAACCGCCATCCCCACATGGCTCCTTCACATCATTCCTGTAGGTGTATGAGGAGCGGTGACTTTCTGCCCCTGCTCGAAACTCCAATACCTCTTGAGACTGAATCAGCTCAGAATACTCACTGAAGTTGTACCTAAATTTTAGTTGGTGTTTACCTAGTGCCTTTCTAACCATGTTTTTATATGTAGTAACAAATCACTTCCTGCTTCTATTTCAAAAACATTTCGGAAAGAAAAGCCTTACCACCAGGCTGGGGCCTGCCCCCAGCATCCTGATGGCTCCTGGCTTGAATGGCACTCTTTGCAAGCATCAGCTGATCTTTTGGAACAAAAGTTCCACATCAAGTCCAAATCACTTCTCTGGATGTGTAGTTTCCTCCAATGCCAAGGGCATGAACTTATTACTCAGAAAGCCCTGTTTCAAATCCTAGCCCTCCTCTCAAGAGCTGATATCTCCTTCCTCAAGGCCTATGCTTTTCAACCTGTTCCTCGGGGCACTCTGCTTCTCAATTTCTTGCCTGAGCCTCAGTTTTCTCAACTGTAAAATGGATCAGTGACCCCTGCCTTGTTTGTTTCCCACAGGAGGCCCAGGTTACACATAAGACACAGAAGTGTTATGTACCCAAGGAAGTGTGGCATGACCTGTGGGAGCTGCCCAAACTATGCTGAGCTGCTTTGGGAGCAGCACCCCTATAACCCAGAGAAGCAGGAGCAACTCATGGCCCTGAGGCCCTACCCCAAAAGCTCTCTCACAGGCTCAGGACCAGGCTGCTGAGTCACTGCACTAGTCACAGGTGGAAAGCAAAACCTACAAGAAACCAGGGTACCTGTGAAGGAGGAAGGGGCTAGGCCAAAGAAGCTACTCCATCTCCCCAGCCTTCTCAGTGGATACTATCCTCCTGTATAGACACGGACAAAATTCCCTTACATAGGCTACATGCAGTCATTGAAAACACAGGTCCTGACAAGAAGACTCAGCTGCAGTACTATTGTGTGTCTGGGAGCAGATCACTGCTCTGCTCTGATCCTTGAGCTGCCTCTTCCCTCTACTGAGAGAGGCATGTATAGCTGCGAGAAGGAGGAACTATAAACTGCTAGCTCCACGGGTAGATGGCGCAGAGGGCTGACTCCTGCACAGACAGGGTCAAGACCAAGACTGACAGAGCATCAGCAGGGCATCAACAGGCTTTGGACCATACCTGTAGGGTGGCTTTTCTGCTGCTGCCCACCCTACCCCTACTTGAGGGTACTGAGGACCTGGAACTGAGGCCATAGGTCTGTCCCAGGGCCTTCAAGCTGTGGAGGAGGTTGATGCAGAAAAGGCTACAAAAAAGCCAAGACCAGAAAAACAATAGGGCTCCACAGTGGAGGAAAACACAAATTTAGCTACAGAAAAAGAAGAAATCCCAATCTTTTTGTTGCTGATGTTTTTCTTTCTTTTTTTTTCTTTCTTTCTTATGAGTCACTGAGGCTTTTATTTTGCACAAAGAACCATTGACTCCATGTCTGTGGGCAGCTTGGAGATTACACTGGAAGTATGAGGACTCTTGACACTAGGTGGGAAGTGAGGTGACAAACAATGATTTGGACCAATCACATGATTACAGAGCTGGGGTTTCCAAAAGGTCTCTAGGTAGACAGGTGTGCCTTCCCATCTCTAGGGAAGCAGTGGCAGGAGAGGGAGCTAACTACAGAGACCTGGCAAACACTGAGCCAGGCTGGAGCAGCCTCGCTATCAGGGACAGAGCCTATGCAGTCGGTGATGACTGAGGGCCAGAGGGGTTTCTGAAGGACCTGCAGGCAAACTTAGCCTTGCTGCCCAGTTCCTCCTCGATTTTGAGGATCTGATTGTACTTGGCCAGACACTCAGATCGGCAAGGCACACCAGTCTTAATCTGCCCAGTGCAGAGCCACACCATCAGGTTAGCAATGAAGGTATCCTCAATCTCCACAGAGCTATGGTACACCATGATGCCCCAACCATTAGACTAGGCCAGCTTGCATGCCTGCAGAGACTCGTTCACAGAGCCAATATGGTTCACTTTGAGCAGGAGGGAGTTGCAGGACTTCTTGCCCACGGCCTTGGCAATCTCCTTTGGGTTGGTCACTGTGAGATCGTCCCCAACAACCTGGATGCCTGGACTAGTTATGAACTTCTGCCAAGCTTCCCAGTCATCGTGGTTAAAGGGGTCCTCGATGGACATCACTGGATAGTCTCAGATGAAGGACTTATACAGGTCAGCCAACTGGTCAGGTGTGATGTACCCGCTGGGGTCATCAGGAGACTTGAAGTCCAGGTCGTATTTGCCAGACCTGAAGAACTCAGAGGCAGCTACATCCATGTCAATGACAACCTTGTCAGTGTAGCCAACCTTCCCAGTTGCGTTCTTGAGCAGTTCCACGGCTTCTTTGTTCTCCGGGACGTTGGGCACAGACCTGCCTTCATCATCTACATTGGTGGCATCTTTCCCATATTTCTCCTTGACGACATTCTTCAGGTTGTGGTCAACCTCTGCTCCAATGCACATGGCTTCCCAGAAGGTGGAAGCACCCCCAGGGAGGATCATGAACTCCTGCGTGGCCAGCTTGTTGCCAGTGTGAGAACCGCAGTTGATCATGTTGAAAGCCGGGATGGGCAAGATGACTTCGGGGCTCCCAGCTGGGTCAGCAATGTGTTGGTACAGGGGCATGCCCTTCTCTATAGCACCAGCTTCGCAGACAGCCAGGGATATTCCCAAGATGGCATTCAAGTCAAACTTAGATTTATTTTCAGTCCTATTCATTTCAATCACCAGTTTGTCGATCTTCTGTTCTACAACGTTTAGTTTCTTGCTAACCAGAGCAGGTGCAATAGTTTTATTGATGTGCTCAACAACCTTTGAGACGCCCTTCCCCATGCAGCGTGTTTTATTGTACCAGAGCTCCAGGGCCTTGTAGATACAGTTGAGACACCACTGGGCACAGCAGCTCAGAAGAGATCTGTGTAGAAATCAACTTCAATGGGATTCCCACAAGAGTCAAAGATCTCTCTCTGGCATGGATCTTGAAAATAAACATGGTGAATTTCTGGCCACTGGGTCACAACTCAGGAAAGGAATGGGAGGTGCTGTGGACACCAAGGAGAGTGGTAAGAGCAGAGTCTACTGATGGTTTTCAACATT